GAGATAGATGAGTTAGTACTGTTAAAAGGAGATGGTCCCAGAAATACTCAGAAAATGGGAAGAATTTCCAGACTCATAAGAGGTAAGGATGGTATGTGTCGATCAGGGATTGTAAGAATAGCTAATAAAAATGAGCTGGTAAGAGCAGTGGGACATCTCTATCCTTTAGAGATCTCCGACAGAGAACAAGGTCCAGGTAATCGCTCACCTCGGGAGTGTCGAGAAGTACCAGAGAAGAGTTAATTCCTTTGTTTAGGGTTGAAATTTTAGAGAGAAGTAATTCCTTTGTTCTGGATCAAAATTGTTGGATGTAATGTAAGCTGTGAATGTATTTCGTAATGTAAAATGTGACTAAAATTGTCAATTCTTTGTCTATGAATTTCGTAATAGCTTCATTACACATGAGCTAACAAAGGCGCTAATTTTTGTAAGCGCAGTACATTCCATGATCCTCCTCCTACGATAAGGATAAGGATGCCAAGCACAGAGGATTTTAAAGGAATGAAGATGTACTTCCGCAAAGAGGTTGCATGGACCATATCAGACAGGTTTTGGTCCCATTTTTCCTTTGTGTTTTGATATCGTTACTAAAATGTCTGACTGATATGAATGAAATTACATGATGATATTTTAATCGTGTTCGTTGTTGTATTGACAAATTTATCATAATAAAGGTTTAATTTCCCAAGTTTGAGGTCAACCAGTAGCTGAAAAGATTGTAATAAAAACTCTAAATTTCGTCACGGTCAAAAAACGACGACATCAAATATATATGTTTAGTAACTGATATTTTCTCCTTCTAATAAACGCACTTAAAAATTCAGTTTGTCGGCATTTATGAATATTTAGTATTCAATTTTCGATTTAAATTGCCTTAAATGATGTATAGGTGTTTCCTCATTCATTTTTGTTTTATGTGTTTGGCACCAATTTTCATTATTATTTAATTTATACTAGTTCCAGTATTGTTGTATTGTGATTTTGAATTGGTATAATAATTTTGGATATTTGATGCCTAACTTGCTATTATTAATAATACACTGGAGAAAAAAATGTCAGTGTTGACATGTTGATTAATGTTTAGTAAAGGTGTATTGTCTCCTTTGCAGTAGTAGCAAAAATTAAACATGAGTACAGAAATGAAAGGTTCTGTTTAGAAATGACAGTACCTGT